AATATATATATATATATATATATATATATATATATATATATATATATATATATATATATAGCATTTGTAAGTATAAATTAAATATACATAAATTATAAATAAATATAAATAACAAATATAAACATATAAATAAATACATTAATTTATTTATTTTATATTTTTATATGGTATGTAAATATAAGATTATTTTACCTTACGCTTATTTTGATATTTATAAGAGGTATTCTGTATATCAACATAATTATACAGAAACCTCATGTCTGTTAAACTTTCTCGTTAAAATAATAAAATTGTCGTCTACTAATAAATAGTTGCATTCTTGGATTTGTCCCACCAACTAGTCGTGACAGCGATTGAAACGGTATTTAACTGATTTCCCCATCTAATCGAAATAAGATCTTTACATGCCTAAGATGTTTACATGCCATCAAAATTGTATAGAGAAGATAAGCGAGATCTTTCCCAGTTATCAAAATAGAAACTTTCTAACTTTGGAAGGACTAATTTCTCAATCTCATGTTTACTAAACGTTTCATGCTTAAATTTAGTAAGTTCTATAAATCCTAAAATTGCAAAATCCCAATTGTTCTATAAATTCCAAAATTACGATATTCTTTCGATTTAATAGTCTGCATATATACATATATATACATATATATATATATATATATATATATATATATATATATATATATATTTATATATTTATATATAATTTCCCGAAATTTTTCAATTCCAAATTTTTCAATCAAACAGTGTCCCAAAATTCGGAAATGTCTATTTCGAGATCACGGAAGCGAGATAATCTTAAACGACTATTATTATTTATTAGTATAATATTCCTTTGAAAATCTTCGAATTATACAAATTTTATCGTAACAACATTTCCTATATATCTTCAGAAGCAACAAAAATAATTATAAGAATACTCTTTTAAACGCCTCACATTGCATAACTATTATTATTTATTAGTATAATATTCCTTTGAAAATCTTCGAATTATACAAATTTTATCGTAACAACATTTCCTATATATCTTCAGAAGCAACAAAAATAATTATAAGAATACTCTTTTAAACGCCTCACATTGCATTAAGAATAACGAGTAAAAGAGGCGGTGATTTAACTGAATATTTTACTGACCTTGTATAGTGAAACATTCCGGTACGACAAGAGGACTCAATTTGTCTGTAATCGCTATTTTATACGTGACCACACTATCAAAAATATGAGCAAATTCTAAAGACGCGGAATCTGTATCGTGTCCCATTAACAGTCGTATTAAACGTAGTCCGATTTGCGTATCTGAAACAAACAGTAAGTTCGTAAATGTTAAAGAGTGTCTTGGCACTCCCCCACAACATACACAAAATACAATCCAAGAAACACTAAACGAGTAACTTTGTTTCTCGATATAACAAAAAGATATATTTTATATTTAAATAAAAGGACCAAGTATAAATAACATTTTCGAATAGAAATCGCATAAAGCTTTCGATGTAATAGAAAGCAAAGCAAAAACAAAACTATCTAGCTATTGCTGGATGCTGTTTCTCTCTGCGCGACATACGTAGATTCAATAGAGAGAAAGGCACATTTTAATACAAATAAAGAGTCCCGTATGCTATGACATACCTAAATATTTGGACCAAAAAATTCGCTCTCTCGAATCGAGAGTTTTTTGAAACATTTCGGCTACGCATCTCCAAAGTTGTACGTTGCGCGATGGCACGGATACACTAAAATTAAATGGACAGATATCTTTTGCGCTGTCTCGCTGATATGAGCAAACGCACTCTCCCCGAATTGCCCACTCGATGACAATATGATCGTTAACCGATACTTGCCAAGTGGAATTTATCTATGACAAATAGGAAAGTTTATTTTATTCATATATCTATAGTAACTCTCTTCCATTTGTAGAATAGAAAAAAATGCATATAAAATAATATCCACTTCTAAACTGCAATATTTTGCAGCTTGGAATTTTTTACATATATGACTTGGTATTTTGCATTGATATTTTGCATACATGATTTTGTATTTACAGATGCCATGAAACAACACTTCTTACACTTATCTAACACTCACCTGAATAATGAAATCACCAGTTTTCGCTTTGAAGATCAACCAAAATTTTCGTTGCTTAGGTACAATACACGCTACACTGATCGATAAACGCGCTTCCGACGTGCCTTCGGCGACGACTATCGACTTTTGATTGACGAAAAGCCTCCTCGGTATTTTTCTGGCACACAAATCGCTCCAACGTGCCATTTGTAGACTAGCTAAACATTTCTTTGTCACGGTTACACCAGTACGTATATTGCTCTAGCAATTATTCGTGAAGACATTATTTATAGAAACATATGACAGAAATTTGTCCAACTTCATCGTCGAAGGATCAGTCGCAAGATAAACTTTAAAAATACAATATTTAATGGCGCAATCAGAAACCACTATTATCTTACATGGATGTTTCGGCCGTTCTTCCGTCATCCATATGTCGTATTCGGCCGCGTTTCGATAAGGCACGTTAATTCTCAAACTGGTCTCGACGATCTCGTACAATTTGCTGCGTACAGTGTACTCGTTCATAATCCCTATGTCATCGATCTGACCCTCCAAGACAATGCATTGGTTGCTCCCGAAGTCCGGTCCGATAGCGCGTCCACAAAATAACAAGTACGCTGTCGATGACAAAAAAAAGTTAATTCACGCAAAACCCACGTAGCTCTACTTTAAAATCACATTAAAAATATTAGTCTATCATTTTTTTTTCTAAAGAATGCGATAATTTTAAGCTTTACCTCTGCATTTCTTTATTTTCCTGGCGTGAAACTGTACTTGCACTTGCCCGTTATCGTGCATATTCAAACGTAAAACCGACGCAGGATTGAGGACGTTGAAAAAGCGATTTGTGTTGTTCACGAATGATAATAAGTAACTTATAGTGTTATCTGTTGGATTCGATACGCCGATTCGCCTGCCTGCAGTTTGGGATAGCGGACAGCTCAATTTTATCTATATTAATAAAATTATATATATCACACAATATTACTTCCTGTACATACTTCCTTGTTATTGAGATATTCAGTATTACGTTTTATCACACATAAACAGACTTGAGTATCTGCATTAAAATACACTTTTATTAAAATAAAAGTTCAATTACATTTGCAACTTTTTTAATTCACCTTTTCTACACATTAACTAATTACTTGTGCAAGTCGAAATGCATCAAATTAGTTTACAAACTGTACGAACTTTGGCACTGGGCACATATGTCGGTAGAGTTTGAAAAAGATGGGCCACCAGCATCAACATCTGAATTCGATTTGGGTCAGCTAATTGCATCGGCGTGATTACAAAGCCGAGTCTTAACTTTCTCCAAGCGGTGACCAAGCAAATGGCGTTGTGCAATTTCTACATTAAAGATAGATTTATGAGAATTACGAGACGTGAGGTCGACTGCACGCGCGTCGTTCACTTACCTCCTCACCGCTCCTCGGATGGACGTACAAGTCACCGAAGCACTCGTGAATGAGAAAGGGACAGTAAGCCGCGGTGAGGGCGATTAACACCAGGCCATTCGACAAATCGTTGTGAAAATTGTGAACCAGTTGAGGCTCGGCTACGTCCAGCTTCTCTCGTGGATTCAAGCTCACGCGGCGGTCGGTCATCCAATCTCGCACGCGTTGCTGCTCGTAATGGTATTGCAGCCAAGCCAGCAGAAAGCTCTCCTCCGGACCACGATTACCGGGTTTCCTGCTCGACGACCTCGCGATACTTTGAACGGATCTCTCGTGCAGTTCGCACTGCCTCGGCGAACTGGAAGGTGTATCCGTCAGGTCTCTCTGACGAATGAGTTATTCGCGAAAACACTTATAGTGAATACGGTAAACCTCGACGTAGACGGTATTGTCGAGTCTTTATGCGCTGTGGACTTCCTCGAGAAATGCATGGCGAAGAATTGCGATGGCCGGTATTCGCGTTCGTGTATTCCAGCGAGCACGAAGCATTTGTAAGTTTGCAAGACCACGTCCAACCAGCATTGCTTGTTTCGCGAGTTAAATGACTGTCGCGATAGTCGTTCGCGTTGCACATTGTCCACGTTGTTGTTAAGCTTCTTTTTACGCGTCTGTAACAAAGTTATGTACTGTACAGAGAATTATTAAAATAATTTTGATTTCTTTATTAATTTTCTCTAATTGTTCTTTTCAATAAATTTCAGGAAATATTACAATTTGTTATCAACATTCAATGTAACTATATTAAACATATAATGAATCATATATTAAACATATAAGGTTATCAATATTCAATGTAACTATATTAAACATATAAGGAATATTGGTAACAAATTGTAATATTTCCTGAAATTAAATATTTTTTGAAAAAAACAATTAGAGAAAACGAATAAGAAAACCAAAAAATTATTCTAACAATTTTCACATTTCTCTACATCTTCATAAAACGGTGCAATAGTCAAATGAACGAAAAACGTTCAAGTTAATTTATCCAAGTTTAATTCTGATTAAGATTGAGAGCTATGCCTCATAATTTATAATTGATAACTCACATTATTCTGCGTCATTTCAGTACTAATCAGGTAATCGTCGTAATTCAAAAGGAATTGCGCCGAGATGTGAGCTAAATATGCTCCATGAGACAGAAGGAAATCAAGCATCTTGTCGTACAATTGTAGAACATGACAGACTCTCTCGGCATCATCTTTCGGCAAGGGTCGCCGCGACCTCGTGTAAAAGAGACACAGTAAATGCACGTCAAAGATCGATACATAGAAATCAACTGATACCACAACGTTACTCTTCTCCAAAATAATCGCGCGCCCTCGATCCCACGAGCGACTCGAGCACATCGATAAATGACGGTATAGTTGCGTTAGATCTCCTCTTGGGATTTCCCACGTTTGTTTGCCTCCTCGCCAAGTAATTTGAGAAAGCCGCAGTAACACCGAGGGGAATGCTCAGGTAAAACTGAAATCTCAAGGGTCCCGAATACATCCACTCCTCCATAGTCGCCGTTATGTCGCGTACATACCTTTCGTAAACGCTAGCGAACAGAAACGTAATAACTGTTTATAGAACAAGTACAATTTTGCATCTTGTAATAACATTTATGGACGAGTAACGTGATATTTAAATTATAATATGTAATTATTACAATTAAATCATGCACTAAGAAGAAAAATGGAGAAGAAAAAGTTTAATGAGACTTTGCTTGAACGAACGAAATTCATTTAAGCACAAGTCGATTGAACGAATTATATAATTGCTGTGATGAGTTATATATCAATTAATTCAATGATTGCAATTTGGTAAGTAACTACATTAACGCAACTCATCGTTGCGCTAACGCGTAATTTGTGTAGATACAATACTTCATTGAAGGCGAGTGATCGTCGATTTTATCGATCCAAGTGTTTCTTTTTCTCTTTTTCTTTTTAGTTTTAGATTTCTGGTTTTAGATTAGTTCCTACTATAATAGAAATAGTACCGCAATTCAATTTATTTAAAGTCTTCTGTTACTTTATATTACACATAATCTTCATTTCTCTTGTGTATATTCTTGTTATATTATGTATTCTTCGTAACACTCACCCATCCGACTCAACAGCAAAATAATCTGGATGCGATAATTTTGCAAAATGCACGCGACCGTTTGCTTCGGAATCGATGGAGAACGCGGGATCTCTCTCGCGGAATTCCATTTGCTTCTTTTTATTTCCTGTCGTTTCTTTCCTGTCTGTTTGTACGTTGTTATTAATCGTCTCACCACTGATGGTGTCCACTTCTCCATTTTGAGATAAAGGAGATTTCGTGTCTATAATTTTTCCTAGAGAACTTTTACTCGGACGAGCCTGATCAGCCTCATCCGTTCTATTATTCGACGATATCATCGAATAGGTGGAAACATGTTTCTCTAAACGTTCGGTCGCATCCCCGAAAGTGGACGATCTCATGTGATACGTGTATATTGTTAACAAATTATTGTCCGCCGTCGCGTACACTGTTAGGAAACATACGCTGGACGCGTGATGATCCCGAAACGCAACCGTCGAGCAAAATGATACTGGTTGATCACTCTTGAACGTTACTATTCCTTCGAGTTCCATGCACCTATTTGCGACATCAGGAGGCAATATTTATTTCAAATATAAGAACCAAATGTCATCATCAACGGATAACATCATTCTTTATTCGCGTGAAAGCTTGTTGAAATGTGTTTGAATGAAAAGTCTTATTTGCAAAATATTATTTATCCTGTTCGGAAAGAACCCCGCACAAAACATATAGAAAAAGTGATTTCAAATTGTCTAAAAATTTGATATGTTGTAGTTTTTGACTTCCTGATCATAAATTAATCATAGGTAAAATCTTTGAATACAAACAGATTTTTTTGCTACAGATGTTCGAAAGCGGCAATATTAGATTCACGTATGCTGAAGATCTATTGATTAGTTCGACATTGCATGTAAAAATATGTATGTATGTGCACGTGTGTGTGTATGTGACTTTGCTGTTGTTCCTCATTTTTCGCGTTATCCAAGAATTTAAACCTTATTGTGCACTGCGGGGTCAAAAAAACCCAGAAAAAATAAATAAATAAAATAAATCTATAAAATAAAATAAAAAATAAAATATAATATAATAAAATAAATCTATATATTTTGGGAAAACTGTTTTTTTCACAAAAATCCTAATTTTGATATTCAAAATAAATACCTTTTTTGAAAATCCTACTATTATATTAATTTTTTTCTTAAAGAGATATGTCTTGAGAGTAGTTTCTTAAAATTTTACCTTAAAATATCAAAGATTGTATCAGTTATGATTTTTGGAGCAAATCAAGTCATTTTTTGCGTTTTTGAACTTTCCAATTTTTTTCTTCATTTAAAATCAAATTTCGTCTAGAAAAATTATTCCATTATATAAAAAGATGTTTGAAATATATCCTAAAATTTTTTCAAATCAAAAAGCGAATAATTTTATTACAGCAAACATTTTTATAGTTGGAGTAGCAAAATACCCCAGTGTGTCCATTATGTGATTATATTGAAGTGTGCACAATAAGGGTTAATATCGCCACTTTCAACATCTGGAGCAAAAAAAATTTGTCCATGTTTTATTCAAGGAATTTGTGATCAAAAGGTTAAAAACTATTCAATTTTTAGACAATTTGACCGAAACTACTTTTCCCATATATTAGCGGAGGGTCCTTTGTTCAAATGAACATTTCTATGACGGTCAAAATTCAATGTCAACTTACGAGTAAGGAGGAACAGTGTTGCCACTTGGAAAATCGACGTGAACCAGATCGTTCTTGTAATCACCGCTGCATCGCGACACTGACGTAAGGTCCACGCCTATCGAGACCGAGTTATCGAAGTGCCTTGCTCGAATCACAAACCTCCTGCCTGTCGTCATGTCTAGAGGAACAGGCGTGAGATATATCTCTGTCGGTTCTACGTCGATCGTGCTGGCGGGAAACTCGCCGTCTAGACGTAATTTATTGAATACGCCGCTGTCGAGCTCGCCATGAACGTGTATCGGTACTTCGGCACTGAAGCTGCCGCGTCTACTCGGCTTGAACTCGAGAACGAAGTAGACGCTGTCGCCAGGATGTAGGATGCACTCGATAGAATCGGACGTTCTTCTAACCTCCGCGCCGCGAGACCACTTGATAGCGAATGGACAATCGAGTTGGTTGAATTCCTCAATATTTAAGGACACCACTGTTCGCCTGGGCGTTTCCCGATTCTCTATACATAATTCTTCGGACAACTGCGGCGAAGGAAACGAAAGAATAAGTGCGAAACTTATCGACCAAATGGAGTACACCTTCAGGTGTGTCGTGAAATGTGCGAAATTCTGGTAGACAAAAATATCCTATCAGTCGACGCGTCTCTTGGCTCACTCATTAAGAAAATTTAATTAAAATATTAAAAAAGAAAATTTGATTATAAAATATCAAATTTATGATTCTTCGACATCTCGAAATCGAAACCAAGAAAACTAAAGTGCGTTTTTTCGCGGGGTAAGCGATCTTACCTGATTGGTCGCGGCGTTAAATTGAAACAACAGTTTGCTAAAGGAGACGACGCGAGCGGCAACAGTACAGTCGACGGTAATTGTGGGCAGCTTATCGGGCAACTGTGTTATGACGAAGTTCGTCAGATTTGCGTAATGAATCTCGCGTGATTTCAGAAATTCCGACGGTCTAACGCTCCTAGCGTTCGACATCGATGCTGGCCCCAGCAGCTGGTTTACCACCATCGGTAAGTAGAAAGAGTAGCTGGCTAAGTCGACTGGTTGAAAATGCAAATAGAGGCTTCGACTAGCACCTGGGACAATAATGATCTTCTCCGCACCTGTACATTTATCAAATGCAATTGCAAAATGTATCTCCACTGAGAAAATTCAACTTGACAGCCCATCAGACGTGACTCTTTTCTCTCTGTCAATTCCACTTACCTACGTCGGAACTTTTACTGTCCGCCGACAGAGAGACACGAAAATCGGGATACTTCTTTAACAAGAACTGCAGTTCTAATATCGTTGTCCCAATATTCGTGGCTGTTATCCGGTGTGTGTGACAGGCATCGGCGCTCACGCGTTTCATCTCTATTCGCTCTGGCAAAATTTTCAATCGCGGAAACGATACCTTGCCATTGATCTTGTAAGTCAACCGCGCACTCTCCTGAATCGTAACGGCGATTACAACGGAAAAACTACAGCAAACATCGAAGGTAAGGTGTACCTGCGTAATCATGAAAATATCATTGTAATATTTAGATATTTAAGATAGAAATATTTAGATAGTTAAGATATGAGTGTCCTAAGTAGATTATTCTGATGCAGTTCTCGATGCAATGTGTAATGCGGGGAAAATTTTATAGTAAAAATTATCATAGCATTTTTGTAACCAAGAAAAATTGCTATAGGAATTTGTAACCAAAGAATATATCGACATTTTGCAATAATTCACTACTATTTATTTCTTATGTGCTACTTGTATTTTAAAAACTAAAATGAGTTATTAAAACACTCGTTATGTTAGCAAAAATTTACCACGTTTCTTAACAATATTTGAACGAACAAAATTCGTTCGAGTTTAATTGAATGAACGAATTATATCGTTGCTGCAACAAATTATACATATCAATTGATTCAATGATCGCGATTTAGTCAGCAACTACATCGATGCAATTTATTGCACTAACGCGTAATTTATTCAATAGATACGATATTTCTTTAAAGGCGGGTGACCGGTGATTTTGTCGATTCTACTGCTTTTTTCTCACAGTATACTAAAAGCATTGTAAAACTGTAAAGAATTTATACGAAAAAAAAATATAAAATTCTTTCAGTGTATATATTTGCAGTAGACATTTTACAAAATTCATTGGCTCACTGGACGACACATAAATATTAAATCAATCGCGATTTATATACGAATATATGCCGAATTTAGTTCTCATCTAATGATGAGATCTCACCTCAAGAATCGCGATACCGCGCGCCGGTATTTTGCCTCGGAGCGGATTAACGTTGCAGCCACGTGTCAGTGACGCACTGTCCACCTCATACGCCACGTCATTAATATCGAAGTTCCGGAGAACGGCGATTATTTTGGTCGGCAGATTGAGCGGTATCTCTCCGAGATTCGCGTGGTCGCCTATGAATTCGACCTTTGGCGCGAATCGCGGTATGCTGAGCCGCAAAGACGAAGAAGTGCCGCTCTCGCATTTCAAAATCGCCTGTACGCAATTAACTTTAGCGTAGTCAGCCGTGTAATTCGCGTAAAGGTGTAAACTGGCGTTACCGCGCACGGAACCGGACATTGGTTCTATGTAGAATCCAGAGGCGCTCGGTACTTCCCATCTGCAACCGATTTTGCAGTCGTAAACTTTACTCACTCAAAAAGACGTTCAGATAGAATTCTAAGTGTCACAGTTAAAAACCCAAGTTGTTTCTTGGGTCTACTAGAAAATTGTGTGTGTTACGTGTAGAATTTACAGCAGTACGTGTGTAGAATTTACAGCAGTAGCAGCAGCATTCTACAGAAAAATATCACTCTACTGCTAAGAAAAGCGATTACTCAGTTTATTTGCAAGATCAATCTTTTGGAGTGTATGACTCAAAAAGTTCTAAATGTCACAGTTAAAAGTTATCTTATTTTCCACTAGAAAATTGTCTGCGGTACGTAGAATTTACAGCAGTAGCAGCAACATTCTACACAGAGAAAAATGTCACTCTACTGCTAAGAAAAGCGATTACTCATTCAGTTCATTTGCAAAACCAATCTTTTGGAGTGTATGATTCCGATTGGAGACGCTTCCACAGATTGTTGTGAGCATCAGAATATGCCGAGTAATTAGAGAAAGGATGCTTTCAAGCGGAGAAAAGGAAGAGACAATAACAATGCTTGGTAAAATTTTACCTGAAACATGTTCTTGCACCTAATTTGTTTGTAATGCGGACGATAGAAGCCATTGGCCGATATATTTCCTCGCTTGACCACTCTTTCCCGAGCTCAATCTCCTTCTTCTCTATGTGTAACTGTTTATGAACCACATGAGCGGTAACGTTGAGATCGAAGAAGCTATTATTATTAATCGTATAGTCGATGCATCCACTAAACTTCCCAATGTCTTGCGCACGATACTCGACTAGTTTCGTCATCGTCGAGTTTGGTGGCAAGATCATCAAGTCACCCTCGGGAAAGTGAATGCAGTCGGTCGACGGGCTCGCCAATCGTATCATTACTGGGACATTGTTCGTGTTCCTCGCAACTAGCTGACGATAGTTGAGACTATTCGGTGCTACCTGCCGATCGGGATATGTCCATGATTAAAGTGTTTTAATAAATATCTGTGATCGAAACTTTGTATATATCTATGATATAAGGTACAATTTTAAGTGACTTTCTTCAGGGATTTGAACACTTCAAATCCCGGCGATCTAAAGATTAAGAAAACAATTACGTGGCCCGGCGACAAAACATTAACGTCAGCTGTAATCTTTCACAATAAAAAATATTACTAGCGTCCTGGCAGCAACGCGCGTTTCCTTTATTCGATGTGTTTGTATTTTGAGTTACCCACCATGCCGAAGACGAACGCGATCGGGTGAATGTGGATATTGTATATTTGCAAGGGCGATAGAGGTATCAGTACAGCTGCCTTGCTCGTGCAAATCGATCTCTCGAGAGTGGGCTTTTTCATGCAGCAGATAAATCTATCGACCATTGTCGGATAATCGTCGTGTTTCCATTTAGGCGCACGAAGAATTCGTTTCATGATTTCTTGGTCGTCGTCTACCACTTTTGCTGGCAGACTTCTTTTACCTTCATCAAAGAAAGAAAAATTCGATTTTGAAACAGTAGTTAACTCGTATTTGCATGAATCAAACTCTTCCATCTACAAGAAGAGTTCTGGAAGACTAAATTCTAAATTTCTAAATTTCGTTCTAAATTTTAAACTGTAGAACGAAAATTGCAGAAACAATAACTGTTGAAACAATAAAAATTGAATATCCAAATTTCGTATCTTTTTGTTATTTTGCACTATTAAAATGATATTAAGTTTGAGATTTCTCTTAATTTTTTAAATTTATCTTCCAAACTATAAATATTATTTAGAAAATTTTTTTATTTTTTTATCTCAAATCACTAGAACGGGCGCTATCTCTCTCGCCGAATACAGTAATATTTTTTGCAGTCGGCTACATATTTATGCTATATATTTATATGTAGGTTTTTTTAAATAACAATCTAAAATTTAATAGTTAATTAATATACAATGTTTTAAAACATTCAATTGACCAATTTCCACAAAATTAATTCCCAAAAATACGCTTTTTTTCAAAGCGTTACATTTGTCAGACTTACTCAAAAATCCCCATTTAGACTTCAAAATAACGTTCACTGTACACCCGACGGTATATCTTGCGATTTTTATCTTTCTAACGCTACGTCTCGATGCAGTCGCGCTGTAAGAATCCACCCTGACGTCGAAACACAGCTTGAACGAAGGCTGAACTGTAAAATACATTGTGCTCATTCCGTCTACTCTCCTTCTGTTATTGCATCCTACTTCTTTTACGTGAAAACAATAGTGAGGAAATGGAAAAGCGCGTCGAGACTAAAGTCACAAGATCATAAGATTTATATGTCGCATTTAGAACGTATCGAGATGATAGATTTTGAGCCAGTCACCGCTCTCTTTGCCGCGAACTTGAACGAGAACCTCGATCGACGATTTTGCCTGAAGCTGCAGCAATTTTGGGCGACAGCGCGCTGCCGCGTTCGGCACGTACTCCAGATATATCGGCGCGATGGCTGAAAGATTTGTCAGGCGAAGTACACGCTGTGATATTTGGCCGACGAGCACGTCGCCGAAATAAAGAATGTTAGGCTCGATGTAAAGCCGTGCCGTTTCCACCTCACCGTAGAGACAGAGTCTTATTATGTCATCATCCTCCGCGGAAGCGATGCTTAACGAGCGAGACGTCGACGGGGTAGAGGATTGCGTCGCTGTTTCTTCTGTTGAAACGCACAGACAATATAGTCGTAGTTAATCGCGCACAATTGTCGCATAATTATCTCTGATGGAACCAACTATCGTCCATGAGATCTTCCATTTCGAATCGACGCGATTTGGCGCAATGCACCTTAACTATTCTCATGAAGACTATAAAATCTCCGCTCTCGCAGCCTCGATGTTCACTTCCACGTTTTGTCCCTGAATGCTCTTGTCGCGATAACTTAATCGTCGGCGAAAATCTGTAAATTATTTGGCAGACGTTTCTTCATAATAATTTACAGGAACAAACGGTAAAGCAGTGCTTGAGCTGACGATGTTAAAGAATGTTTCACGATCTCAACTCAAATAATAAATGTCTTGAGTATGAGAAACAATTTTTTACTCGTGACAAGATATGTTCTCCGATTAATGTTTAACAGATTTCCACTTGGATAGAATTGTCATTTGTAATTGTGTAATTGTGCTGACGATGTGTGCGCTTATATACTTCAACTTCGCGAAAATCGATACTCATACTCACTCAATCTCGAAGACGACGCCTTGGAACGGGTCCAGTCGTCCTTCGATCGGGCGGATTTTGAAGACGCTGCGAGCCGGATATCGCTCGTGATCGATGGCCTGTAGAAACTTGATCCATTATACAAACTCGTTGATTAATGAAACGCGCGTATCTGTCAGTCGCTTCCTCACCCGAATGCACTTCACTCTGTTATCCGTCTCGTTAAGGACGACGTAGCTGATAGCACGGGACGAGAGATTCCGCAGCACAAAAGTGTCATACCTGCTGGTGTTCTCTATGGTGGGCGGAAAATCGACGAGGGTGAAGGATCCCGTCGTATTCGGATGGTAAACCACCAGTCGCGGTGTGATGACGTTCACTTTGATGGGAACGCGGATGTTCGGGACGGACTTGATCCTGCGCGCGAATATCGTCCGAATTTCCCTCGAGTCGCAAACCTACAGCGACGTGAGTCTCTTACCAGAACTCGCTGTAGAAGACGCCTTCGTGCTTGCCGACTAATTCGATCTGCAGTGTCACTTCTCTCGACGGTCTGACCGTTCCTCGAAGGGGCTTCACCGAGACGTCCAAGTCGTTTTGCCCGAGATCGATCGAGAACCTGTCAATTTTTCAGAATAGTTCCCGCGCTTAGCTCCACGAGAATCGTCATTCGACCTTGGAAGGTACATGCCTGAGAAGTATACGATTGAACGATCGCACGACCGCTTACAATCTTCGGTAAGCACCTGGTGCTTTTGCCGCCTTTGTTGCGGATGGTGATTATCAGGTCAGATTTGTAGCCTACATCGACGATACCGAAATCTAACGACTTCGGCTCGATGCTGACGCCTTCGACGGCGACTGTGCACAGCACACGATAGTCCAGAACCTCCCCGTCAATCTCGATCGGGATTATCGCGTGCAACAGGGATGGTCTTTTGAACGTGTATGTCACGCATGCCATTAAGCTTAATCCGGGACTCAACCGCGTGTCATTCTTCGAAGTTTCCACTTGAAATACCTGTCAAAGCATTCTACTTATTGCGACTGGCCTCTGGCGAGCGGCTTATCTCAGAGAAAGCACTTCGCGCTTCTTTTTTATGGATAACACCTATTCGTGTATGACGTGCAGGCTGTTGTAGGTTGCACAATTGGAAGAGAAAGGGCTCTTTGCAGTTCTCGCGCTTCCAAGTGCCGATTGGTATGAGTATCGAGAGATATTTACTATGGAATGAGGCTGGCGGATTCTGATGAACGCAGATCTGTTTCCGATGTTCTTGATGGTAATACATTGCCGATACGTAACGCCTTCTAGGGCTTCCGTGAATTCTATGTGGCTAGGTGTGATATATACGTTATTGTACTTTAAACCTGTCGCGGATCTACTCATGACGGTCAGACTCTTTGTAACAGTTATTTAAGAAAAAAAATCAAGCGCACTTCCACCTTCCCCAATATTGTCAATTGATAATCTGAAATCAACGAAAGTCATCGTCGTTTTGACACGTCACATCGACACATATATGCTTGAATTCGTGGTAGAATAATCTTTTGTTTTACGAAGATAGGCAATGAAAAAGAAATTCAGAGAATGTCAACGCGAATGACGAACTCCGGCGGGAAAACGCCCTCACTTAGATGGAACTAAAAGTGTCAACACAATGTTATCAGCAATTACCGGTATTATTGACTTTTTGTATATATACTGCACGGAAATAGTAATACAACAATATATATATATATATATATATATATATATATATATATATGTGTGTGTGTGTGTGTGTGTATTTTAAAGATGTCTCCAAGAAAGTAGACGTCTTTAAAAAATCTTTAAAACATACATGTTGTGTGAATTGTTCCTCCCTTAATTTGTATTGTAATTTTATAATTGTATTTGCATTATATGATTTTAATTTTACGAGAAGACGCGGGTACATAAAAGACTTCAACAGGCCGTTTATTGCCGAAGAAGTGGCTTTATTTAACGATGATGTCATCCGCGTTCGGTTGTCGATCAAGATCAGGTGGGCCACTGACCGGTATACTTTCGACAACCTGATTAATCCAGTCGACGTACACTGAAACCTGCAATGGTATTTAACAAAATGACACAACCTCCGACACAAATAATGTCCTTGTGTAGTAGAAGTTCCATAATTTCTTCCTCTCTACTTCACATACCTTTGTGAAGATGGTGTAAAAGTTTGGATCACATATACTGGTACCCAATCTGCGTGGACTCACGGAGACGATCCCGTGAACCTCCCACACACTAGAATTCGGCCGCTGGAGCACCAATCCTCCGCCACTGTCTCCGTTGCACACTCCTGTACCATTCGCCCATCCGGCGCAAAAGGACGTGTAAGTTAAGTACTTGCGAAAGTCCCTCTTTTGATTTTGACGGCACTCGTCGTCGGAGACGATTTTCATCGTGGTCATCCTCATACTCGTACTAAACGTGTCGTTCTCCGTCAGTCCCATGCCTGCACGGAAAAAAAGAACATTCTTATTTAGAGATTATCTATATACTCAACATGTTCCTGTTGAAATGAGATTCTATAGCATTAAACAGAGAAAACTTGCTTACATGAAGAAATTGAATATAGTTCCACTAAAAATATAATATTCTCGTTATTCAAGAATAATTTTCTTGAATTGAGAATAATGAATACTGGACGAAAAGAACGATATTTTCAAACCAAGAATTATAATTTTTTTAACTTAAAATTATCTATAGTGGACTATTGTAATCTTGTCATATCATTATAATATTGTTGAAATTTAAAAATATTAAATTGTTGTAGTAAAATAATATATTCTTTCTCATATATAAAACAATGATCGCGTCCATTAGAATATGTAAGTCTTGAATTGTTACTTAATTTTTTCCATATGTAAAGCTCCCAGAACTTTAAAAACTGTTGAAATAAACCACACAATTATTGCGTGCAATAATCTAAATACAAAAACTTCGACATGTTAGATAAAACACGTTTCATATTCCCGAAGCAGAAACACCGGATAACAAAGAAAATTACTTCTTATCTCAAAACCAATCGCTACTCACCAGCAACCAATCCAAATCCGCCGTTTTCTTGAGCTTCCGTCAAGATCTTGTCGAAACGCTGAGGAAGGCAGACAGGTGAGACGGTCGAATCGATGGTTACGGCTCTCTTCAAGACCAGCAACGCGATATCCGATCCGTAGTTACTCTCATGATCCTGATACGCACTCTGCAGCCTGATGCTGTCCACGTCGAGCACTTGCGCGTCCTCCCCCGCTTCCGTCAGATTGCTCGAGAGAGTCCCGAAAGCGACGCGCACGGTGTCCGTCGAGGTTTTCCAGAGGCAATGACCAGCAGTCAACACGATACGTTCCGCTATCAGTGTGCCACCGCAAAAGAATCTCCATTCACCGTCCTCGTGAGAGAACAGGGTGGCTTGCCACGGCAGGGTCTCCTTCTCCTCGACGCGCCATCCCTTTACGATCAGTGCTGCGGCTAAATCACGGAATAGTTGAGCGATTGGTGGTCGAGCCTAATTTGTCGTTTTAGAAGCATACATGAATCACAAGCGATTGTCTGAAGCTCGTTTGAATTGAATTAGCGGATCGCATCCATTCAACTTCGCTGACTGACGTAAGAGCATCGATTGGCGAACCTGTGGAGTCTCTCGTTCCACAGGTAGGAGCGCAGCTCAGGGGTGTTTGACTCCACGTGCCGTCGTGGAGGCACACGACACTCGAAGATCCTTTACGACGCTCGTAGAAAGCCGGACACTCTAGAAGAACTCGCGTGCCGACCGGAAGGGCGCGGTTGCAAGGTAGCCATCCTTTATGAGGACCCCACATCGCCTGGCATCGTTTGAACGCACCATACGCCTCAACAAGTGCCGGACATGTTATCCCCTCCGATTGGTTTCCTAAAATACTTCATGCGCGTATATATGTGTATATTTTATATATACTAAAAAAATGTCTTACTAGTTCAGGTAGAATTCTGAGTATTACAGATAAAATTAATCGCTATCTCTTGTTACTAGAGAATTATTTGTGGTACGTGGACTTTTTTGCGAAATTTTACAAATAGTTTTATATATATATATATATATATATATATATATATATATATATATATCGTCTCTGTCTATATTGATTAAATACAAAATATAGGCAATACCGCAATGTTTGCTAATCATTTATCCTTTTTAGCTAATTTCTCATATCTGAATAATTTTCACTATAACTGCAAGATCATTTTTTCTACTTTACTTCAAATTAAATATCATAATTTTTAGTATTTTTTTGTCTTTGCTTTACTCAATTTACTAAAATTTTTGTCGACAATCAGATCGGATTCTAGTTAATCTGGAAACAGATCTCAAATTGAGCATCAAGATTTTGCAGATAATTACCAGAAAATAATTTGTTGCATTGTCTTTTGGTCAATACAAACGACAATGATAACTTACCAGCGATACAACTCGGAAGAACAGGGGACCAACGATTGTTCCGACAATAAACTTCACTCGGACCCTGCAAGGAATCCTCAGTGTCGCAGGTGTAGTCGAGACGCGTGAATTGAGGGACAATTTCGCCCGGGCGGCACCTTGAACATCCACTTATACTATAATGTGTTCCCGGTTTTGCCATTGGTAACCGACAAGCGCCTTCGGGCAGCGTCACCCCGCACAGATATTCCTCCTCGTCGCTCCAGTCATAGCAATTGAGCTGGAGGTTACACTTCAATTCAAGTCGAATGCAACCACCGTACGCGCAGCGGAACCAATTTTCAGGACATCTATAAATGCGGGATAATCAACGGGATCGATAAATGTTTATTTTAACGCGATTGAGGGAAGAGAGGGAGGAGGGAGCGGAGAATAAACCGTGTTAGACCGATTTACATGCAAATTACGTACTCGCGCGCTCTGCACATTTCTGCGCTTTCATCCGACGCGTCTCTGCAATGTCGAGTGCCGTCGCATACTTTGACTATCGGCAAGCACTGTGCTCCGCTCTCGCATGTAAATTCCTCGTCTCTGCGAAGAAACAACAAGACAAAGCAGATCTCAGGTCTTAATTAACAGAAGATACACATCTAAATGACGAGTAATGGAAACGTGAGTAAGGAAACAGCGAAAGTTTGCGCTCGGCCGACTCTTTGAAGGAAGATAAGTGATAGAAACGGTCAACGTCCAGTATGATTGTTGGTCTGTCGAGTCGAAAACGCGCCCGTAATCGCCAAGTCAACAAGAATATGAATTGTTCAATCGATTAGGGACCAACCTGCATCTATATCGCGCGCATTCTTCACCTTCGCAATTCATTGCCGCGCACATGCTCGAGTCTTCGTCGGTGCCGTCCACGCAGTCCTTGACACCGTCGCAAACCGTTTCCTGATGAACGCAACCTCCATATGAACAACGGAACGTGTATTCAGGACACAAATACTCGCGGCAAGTCATCGCGTTCTCGTCGCTCCCATCCGAGCAATCTTTGTGACCTGATAAGAAAGATCGAATATGAATTCCAGCATCAAATCTTACGAGCACCAAGCGAGCATTTTTCAAAATAGCCTCGCTATCACGGCGATGATCCGCGCTCGGTCAAGCGATAAAAATTTGGAATTGGTTTCCCGTTGGTAGACACCAACTAACGATATTACTAATTAATGGTGTAGCACTGCATAATGTGACTGTTACATAACGCACGCGTTATGTTACATTCACATTGCTGAATAGGAGATTATAACACTGACGTTGTGTTGCTGATAGTTTACTGAGTTGTCACATCTGAGAAGCACTTGGATTAATATAGTTGATCTGATTGCATACAGCTCGAGGACCATCGTGATCTCGAAACTTCTACAGAAAAAATTGTGCCTTCGAGTGCAAGCGCATCGAACAGCATTAATGCGCCCAAGCATTCAAGAATTCTTTATACACGGAAAAAATAATTATGTTGGTGCAACCGAATTTTCGGTTGCTCAGGGATCAGACGAAATTCAGCTGTAGAAACAGAAAAATTCTTTTATGAAGCTTCTGTATAGTCAATAGAGATGTGCGAATTATTCGAATCGAGTGAAATTTGATTTGATTTAAATTCGAATCTGTATGATTCGATTTTGAATAATTCGAAAATTTCAAATCGAAAAGATTCGAATATGGATCGCGCACATTAGTATTAACAAAGAACTATTAAAGACATCCAGCCTTACGGGAATTAGCATGACTTGAAAAGTTTGCTATACATTAAGATTTTCTTCAAAAATATTAAAAGAAGATAATGGCTTCTAGATAAACTCTTACCGACAGCTGTCGGATCGATATGTGTGCAGCTTTCAAGACTGGAACTGCATTCCATACACGTTTACCGACTATATGTTATATATCTCTTACGTTAAAATGAAATGATTTCACATGATCAATGTTATCTCTCTCATACTGAAATCATTATTTTTATGTTGAATTTAATGATTATGTTAATTAAAAATTCCTTTAACGATTCGATTCGATTCGGGTGAAGTTTTATCGATTCGATTTGATTTTAATTCGAAATTAAAATCTGAGATTCGATTCGATTTGACATTAAAAATCTTTAATTCTCACATCTCTAATAGTCAATTGTTCTCAGTTGTTTCAACCGAGTTCTAATATCGCTGAATATTCAGACGAATATTCGGTTGCGACGACAGAAATATTAGTTTTCAAAACAGAGATATCGCTTCTGATCACCTAATTTTCAGTTGGTTCCTATTCGCTTGCACCAACTGAGATTTTTTTGCGTCTAGCAAGTTCAAATCGTTCGATTGATTTGATGTTGAACAGTTCAGGCCGATCTCAGCGTGCGACTAATCCGTTATCTAGGTGTCAGCTCGATAAACACGCACCGTCGCACACCTCACGAAGAGGTATGCACTCTCGAGGGGTCGTGGAGCACTGGAACTCGCGATCGGAGCAAATGTCGTTAGAATCACGATCGCAGGCGAACTCGTCGCTGGCATCCACGCAATCCGTCAGACCGTCGCAACGCGCGGCGCGAGTCACGCAAGCACCATAGCTGCATCTGTACATGTACGTCGGACACCTGGAAAAAGAGATATTTCCGGTTCTCCTAGTCGGTAAATCACGCCTCGGCTAACCCGAGACATCCTGCCGCTCAATGACCGAAATGAGCGGCGGAAGTGTCTTCTTACAGGACGTGACGGCATAATGTTGCGACTTCGTCCGAGGAGTCCGGGCAATGAGGAACTCCATCGCAGATGCTCGCTAATGATGCCACGCTCCCATCCATGCAAATGAACGTCGATGATGAATTCGTGCGGTTGATTTGCTCCATATTAACTTGCGTCACACCTGCACAAACACATACGAATATTAACGGCTGTTCGGCGATTTTTCTCGCTAAATTTCGTCGTTGACCCTAGAAACATAGGCAAAATTTATTCAGACTAACTTTCCAAACGTTATCACTCTTGAAAACATGTGTCTCTTGAAAAAACTTGTTTTTTCACTGTAACTTTCTTCAACTTCATTGAATCGCAGAAACATTAATAGATTCATATTCCTCAATGTTTTCTACACTGATTAAAAAGAAAAGGATTGAACTTCGAAGTTTTGAGCTAATGAAGATGTGCTGGGTAAAATTTACCTGTGTTAAGAGTTTTAGAGTTAATAAAGCACATTCAACGAAATCGTAAAGTACATCTTAATATTTTATAGTTAAGATTGTTCTGTACTTATTCCTTCGATTTATACTACTGTCTCTTATTTTTTCATGCAACTGATGTATGTATATATATCTCTCTTATTGATTATTAGTTACGTATGAAAACGTACCGAGAATCATCACGAACGCTATCACCAGTGCGATCATTTCTAAAGGATTAACGGAACTTTTGGGAATCACGCTTTTAACATTCTCGATGCGAAGCTGAACAAATACGCGGAGCTGTTGCGCGTCTCTATATAGACTCATAATTATCCGGTAATTATTCCGTCACACGTCCGAACATGATTTTTATGGTAGCTTCGGGATTGAGTATTTTGTTTTAGTGGTAATAGAATACAGCTGTGTGAATGTTATCTCGTTATTATCAATGTACGGGTTACCGCGTTGGCTTCGCCAAGAGTATTTTTAGTCAGCAAGGATGCGATCACGTTTGAGCGGTTTCATTCCAATTTTTACGCTTAAATTTGCGCAATTCGGCCCGAGCGCGCAGTCTTAGTGATAAATCGTGCTAATGCGAATTGACTGAGAAAAAGTCGACTAATGTTTATTCTTCGATGAAACATTTGACGACGTGAACATTTAGTCATCGCCGCGTCGACTACTTTCGCCGAATGTTATCGTTCTCTCCGATAAGTAGATAAATCCCGTTTACGTATCAAAGGTATTACGTCACTAACAAAACATTTTCTGCCGTGACGTAACTGAAGAATTATGAATATGTCGCGCGGAGAAAGATGTCGGAATTCATTAAAGATTCTCCGGAGAACTACAAGAAACGGTGAATGACAAGATCAATCTACTTGTCGTTACTGAGACGTATTCGAGATGATTCATTGTAACTTGTATCTATTCTTATCGCTCACATCTCAAACGCAAACCTACAGTCTCACCCGACTCGATCATACCTTTCTACAATACGTTCTAGGATTCCTTGTAGTCTGTTCTCTTTTCGTCGTCGTGCGCAGTTCGCGAAATATTCATTGCATAATCGAGATCAGAAGAATAACGGTGGGAAAATACAAGTGGAGGAAGGATTTTCTAACCGAAAATCCGCCGAATTCTACCCCGAATAGAACGGATCATCTGAAATGGGTTTAGGATGACCAACCATACCGTTTCTACAATTGATAGCGGCTCGATTCCCGGAGGATTGGACGGTGCGATTGCAAAAACGATGAACATGTAACGTGGTGTATGTGTATACAGGGCGTGTGCGTTCGTTATCGGAGGCTTCTTATCATTCGGCTCGTGTGAAGAGGCAAACGGCGCACCTAGTTCCGCCTGTGCTCTTCATACTGGAGAGAAATTCGATCGCCCCAGTTCACATCAAACTGTCGTTGGATATCGTCCTAGGATCGACGATGAGGAATATCGTTTTGATAATCCTGCTCGCCGCGTTTGTGAACGCGCAACAGACAAATTGTAAGTTGATTCGATCTCCCGAGTTATCCACTCGATACTCTTTCGCCGAAATCGTCACGATTTCTTCACCTGTGTGTTCATTAACGCGTTGAACGTCGCTCTGGTTTCCATTAATTGCGCTTAACCAACAATCACTAAAAACACGAGTAAATAAACGCGATTCTAGATGCATAGATCTTTTATCTCGTGTTCACAATTGACTCCCGATCAATCAATTTCTTAGGTGTAATTAACTATACTTTGCATGTAATTTAATTGAAAGCGATGGTATCATCGTGCGAGAAACGCCACACCGCATTGTTAAGACCGGTCTTTGTATTCACCGTCACGGTATTTTCCAAATGGTCCAAACGTCTTATTAAGAGCAACACTTCGTTCATTGTATATTTTCAGTATATTCGTGTCCATAGCCTAATTAAGATATGCTTCGAGTACTTTTAAATCAAGGTAATCCGCAAAATATTATCGCTATCTTGATGATCAGATCTTATGCGTATAATCTAATTGCGGCTATCACAGTGATAGATATATCGTTATAAATTGGCATTGTAAGAATCATAAGAATTTAATACTTTCTTAAACTATACGTAGCGTAAAAAATTAACGAGATGTAAGAAATATATGCATCAAGAGAGAAAGAGGAAGAGAGAGAGAGAGCTGGATTTATTGATCGTGTCTTTCATAATTTAATCGTCTGTTAAACTTTTGTTCAAATAATAGAAATCAAAGCAACAGTCAACGTGTCAAAAAAACGGCGATATTATTTTGATAGAAAATATTGCACAAAGAAATCTCCAATTTTTACTCGTTGTCTTGAATTTGTTCGTTTTTTAAATAAAATTTCACTAATTTGCGAGCCGCGTGTATAGTAGTTCTGCACTGATAGCTTTGGCAGGTTTCACGCAAAATTCTGAGGAGTTACGCCGTTTCTAATTGAACGAAAATATATATCGACATGTACGACATTTCAGACAAGTTCTGCGCTCCCGTGGAAACGGTACAAGAAAGCGCATGCATCGCTTTGAAAAAGGGGGACAGCGAGGTATCATGTTTGCGCGTGGCGGACAGCGCCGAATGCTCGATTCGTCTAGCCCAGGGGGAGGCTGATTTTGGTATTTTTAATGCGGAGGAATTATTATTGACCTATCCATTCTATGACAACATTATGCCCATTCATCAACTGAGGCACAGGGATCGATTAGGAGGTATATTACGCAGAATGTGTCGTTTTAATCTTTCACGCGATTATTTCCGAAATTAATGGTTCAAGAAGAAAAAGAGCATAATTTGAATGAAAGTTATTTGCTGTCGAAATGATGAACAATCACAGCAGGAGGAAGGATAAGGACGTAGGTAAGAGCGTAATTCTGCTTCCACAGAGATATTCGAATTCGAAACGGTGGCGGTGGTTCACGCGGATCTGACTCAGGGAATCAAACCACCCGGCACCGGTTTCGATTCTTTGAAGAACGGTGGCCTTTGTCATCCTGGCTTCAGTAAGTCTCAGTGGTGGAACGATTACATACTCAAGTATTTTGAGAAAACGGTGAGTTCTCGACAATGCCAAGACAACGTGATGGTCGTTGAGAACGAGCTCAGAAATATCAAGAATTTCTTTGGAAAAGCCTGCAGGCCGGGCGAATGGGCCCTTGAAAGATCCGTCGATCAAGAATTGAGTGAGTAGTCTCGTGTGCGTAATATTTTATCGAAGCAATCTTACTTGCTTTGATCGCCGTTTACCTTCCCTCTCATTGGCGATTTTCGATTCACGCTAACACGAACGCTCATTATTCGTTTCTTTTCAAAGAGAAGAAATATCCGGAATTGTGCGCTCTCTGCGACAACAAAGTAAATTGTACTTACAACAGTGAAGAAAACCATGGACATCGCGGAGCTCTGGAATGTTTAACTAAAAATCCTAATGCAGTGGCGTACGTAGCGCTTAGTTACGCGCGCAAATACCTCAAGGTAAATCATTGCTACGATAGACTTTTTTGCGAGATTATATTTTCTAAAAGGCTGTCCGAACTGTAATCACGCTTGGTTAATATCAACTGTCGATATATATTCATTTTATTTTATTATATTTATTGCTTTCTTTCCACGTGTGTGTTCCAGAATAACAACACGTTCCAGTTCTTGTGTCCAACTGGTGATAGACTTCCTTTTGACACTCCGAATCCCTGCGCATGGATCCAACAACCGTGGAGTGTCGTAGCAGCTAGAACGTATGCGAACAAAGCTCAATAAAATTTGTAATTTATATCAATAAGCATCAAAATCTAATTTCAAGAAGTAAAACGTGAATTTTTTAGATTATTTTTATTTATCTGGAGTTCGTATTTTTGTTGTGTTTCTTAAGAAGGAACTGCAAGAAAGTTGATTGTTAACTTCTTTAACACTGAAACGCTAAACATCAAAAAGTTACGTAAACGCTAAACATGAAATTTTATCCAGCGCGTTCTCATTTGTTCATAACTTCCGCAAAAATAATCAAAATCCAATACATTATTTATCAATGTAGAAAACATTAAGGAATATAAATCTATTAATTTTCTCTCAATTTCTTGCGACTCAATGAAGTTAAAAGAAGTTATAAAGAAAAGACAAAACACGTGTTTTTAAGAACAGTAACGTTTGAGAAGTTTCTCGCGAGCACATATCTCACAATTCTTTACTTTCAGAGAGATTGCGGACACTCTTAAGCTTAAGCTGTATGATTGGCTGAAACGAGACGCGAAAGAAAATTGGAAAATGACTCTTCGTGAAATTATAGAAGAAGACAGCAGCGTCGTCGATATACAAGGAAAATTATCCATAGCGGGATATTTGAGCAAAGGAAGGGAAATCGATCTCACAAACATCCAGACCTGCGAGAAGAGAACTATTCGCTGGTGTACGATCGGCGATATGGAGACCAATAAATGCAAATGGGTGGCAAGAGCCACGATGGCCCTCGGCATCGAGCCGCACATTTCCTGCGTCCAGACGAATTCTGTATTCCAATGTTTACGCAATATAACTAAGCAACATGCGGACATAATCACAATCGATTCTAATTACGGCTACATGGCACGAAAGTAAGCTTAAAATTTCAAATACCCATGAAACTTTTAAAAAAGAATTCCACTTTAATATACTGGCGCGGTCCCTTAATGTTTTATTGTGTGTGTTATCTTTTGTTATAATTCGCGCAAATTTCTTACCCATAAATTTGATTACACAATTCCTCATCTGATTGAAACAATACTATTGATTTTTCACGCTTTTATATGCTTACATATGCGCGTTGTAATACTGTTTGCCTCCTTTCTGTGCAGAGTTTACGGCCTGTCGACGGTTTTGTACTGCGACACCGAAATAGACAAAAGCAGCACAGTAATTGCCGTGGTGCGCCAGCAGTCGAACAATAATTACCCAATAAAGAGCTTCCATGATTTGAAGGATCGAACCGCCTGTTTCCCCGAGTACGCCGGCATCAGCTGGCTGAGTTTCGTTAATACCGCGAGGAAGATGGGAATCATATCGTCCAAGTCCTGCGACTATCCGCTCTTGGTGTCGAAACTATTCTCCGGTGCCTGCACCCCCGGGATAAAAGACCATGATCACTCGCACACCATCGCCGCCACAGATGTGTCGAACAAACTTTGCTCCGCTTGCATGCGCTCGAATAATATGAATGTTACAATAATAGGCAATAATACGTATTCTTGTGCGGCGAACTATTCCAATCGCTATTACCATGATAAAGGGGCCATACGTTGCCTCGATGAAGGCGCCGGCGACGTGGCATTCGTGGAAGCCGGAAATATTATTAGTAAGACGATTAATTGTCCATTATTATCACGAACCATTCATTTCGATTACAACATAGATCATTTATTTCGTTAGGCATGGTCACGGGAACGTTTCCGCACATTTTTGCCGCTGATAGTTTTTGTCTCTATTATTCAAATTACTTTAAATCATATATTACTGCTTTTCAAACGGACTATTCAATTATCAAATTCTGCATAATTATGATACAATTTAAAAAAAAATGCTCGATTGATTATCATTTTACAGGCAGGCGTATCGATCCAATGAATTACCGTGTTTTATGCAAGAATGGAAACTTGGCTGTAACTCCTGGATTCGTAATCAACGATACCTGCGCATTGTCAATAACAATTGACAGTGAGGTAAGGGCGAGTTAAGGAAGAAAAGAAACGCAGACTCAAACATTTAATTTTAATGCAACGTGTGCGATTTGAACGAAAAATAAATCGGGATATTCTCTTCTCTTTCAGATCGTCGGGCGCAAGGATGATTCGCAGACCTTCACTAGAGATATTCTCCTGGCCTTTTTGAAGATGGAGGAGTGGCTGGGATATCGTGCAAATTCTAGGAGACCAATTCACGTGTACGGCATATTCAACGGCACTTACGATCTTCTTTTCAAGGATTCGACGTCGGGCCTGGTTTCCACATCGTCGACGCAGAAAACAGTAGAAGCTTACAAAGAGCTCTTCAGTCACGTATATCAGTGCTCGACCGGCCACCTAACAGCCACCGCTAATTACATTTTCGTAGTTCTAGTCGCGCTCTATCATGTCCTTCCTAGTCACATATAGGCTATGTTCAGCAGAAAAAGTAGCTTAGCAAGCACTTTCCGTTGCGCTGGCAGCAGCTTTGCAAGATTTTCTGCTGAACGACACCAGCGTTTTACGCCTTTCCAACATGTTTACTGAGAGGTCGCCATTCTTTCCAACAGACTTTCAACATGCTGGACCGCTCAGTAAACATGTCGGAAAAGCGTAAATCTCTGAATGTCGTTCAGCAGAAAATCTTACGAATAAAGGCGCTGGCGGCGCAGCATAAAGCGCTTTTTCTGCTGAACCTAATCATAGTGTCAGTCATATTCGAGTACCGCGTTCACGTAAATATATGTGTACGGCTCTGTCTCGCACTTTTTTTTCCTTTTTTTATACTTATCAAAAACGTCGATAAGCTTTCGTATCATTGACGATAATAGATAAAGGTATGAACTTTGTATCACTTCATGTCACGAAACATTATGAAAGGAGACATTATTATACTTTTCTATCTATTGGAATTTTTATTACGTTTACCCAACACTCTCCCCCAATGAGCTCATACAGCACAGAGAAGTTGCAGGAACTCTGCGGAAATATTTTACACAAGATTACACAATGCAACAAGCGCATTGACAATCTTGTTATAACGTTCTTTCAAGATTACAATAACGACAAACTTTATTATCAGAAACTGTGTAATCTATGATGTAATCGAAGACAACATGTTTGTAGCAGTACATTGTCCACAGAATTGCATAACATGAGTCATCAGTTTGAGCTGATCATGAGCCACTGTCGCTTGTCAAACGGCGTATGAGAAAGACATTGAAGTATCTCTACACGCAAAAAAATGACTTATCAGCTAAACCGCAGTAGCTGATTCAAACTTAGTCAAAAGGCTAATCGTTTAGCTGTCACTGTTAAGAATTGGCTATAACAGCTAAAATGCATTCGCTATGAAATGCAAATATATTAAGTAACATTAAAAATGCACATTATTTCAAGTAACTAAGAAAATGGCAGTTATTCCTAAATTTCTTATTGCATATATTAAAGAAGTTTGCCGCACAGCTACAATCATTTACAGTCATTTCATGTTACAGTCATTTATTTCTAGTAGCTAATATTTCTCGCTGTAACGCCTAAGTTTAACAGCGAATAAATTTAGCTTCGGTAGTATCAATATTAGCTGTCTCTATTTCAGTAACACATTTTATCTGCCACAGCTATTTTTTAGCTCTGGAAGCTAGTTCTTTTTTTGCGTGTATACACATGCATCACGACTGACAAGAACGGTTTATGCCTGACAGTTTATTAGTAGCGTTAAAAAACGTAAAAAGTACTACATATAAAATTAAAAGTCAAACAACAAGATGTACGATGATTGACCAACAAAAAAGACAGTTTTGGATGACTCAATCGACAATCCCAATTCGCAAATATTTTGTACAATATTGCTGCCACACCCTGTGAAAGAACATATGTATGATGTGGACATTCGCATGTGATAACGTTTATCTCCATGAGACAAAGTAGCAGGCGATTGGAGCAAGAGAAGCCGGCGTAACTTCCGAAGGCCGCGATAACTTCCGAGGTCTGAATTAGCACTTCTGATACGTTATCCCATTCTTTTTCCTACTTATATTGATGCAATAAACTGCAACGCGTAATGTATAGAAAAAGTTTTCCCCATAACACCACACATGTTGCTTCACTAACAGCAGATGTGACTAATTCTAATTCAGTTTAAACCTGTGCTTAGAAGCGACACCTTGCGTGAAACGTGCAAATCTCTTCCTCTTTTATTCAAAATATTCGTGTAATGAGTCACGTTTTTGTGATTCACAAAAACACAAAAAAATGATAATATATTTAGATATTTGATAATATATAATATATAAAAATGATAATATATTTAGATGTTTAGATATTTGATAATATATTTAGCTATTATCTATAAGTTACGTATTGTGCTGGATGATATAGAAACCTTCGTAGATAATCTCTCAATTTTCCTATTTCTTTCCCAAGACGAACCTATCAATACTATAAAATATTATCTTACGTGCCTAAAAGATAAATACTTGAAGTTATATAACGTTTGCACTACCGCGCATGTACGCAAAATCACTTTGCTAAGCGTGGATTGCTATCTACGGCTCTATAATCGCCTTATTACAATAACATTACTGGGAGAGGTGTGAAAATAATACGCATTAAGGTATCAACAAAAAGAAAAATTTGTTCAATTCCATTATTTAACGCACGTTAATTACATCAAACAATCTTAGAACTTTTCGCTACGTTATGGCAAGAATTCTCAAGCAAATGTTCGCGCGTTTTGAGGCGACATTGATAAGAACCGGTTTTATAACTTTATGTGCCATTCTGAACTGTAGTTGGCGTGCAACGGGAAGCAAGTATCTGACATTAATCAGTGAACGAGAACACTCGAAGATAGCAGGAGGTCTGTAGTTCGCCACTACAACTGGAAAATTTATCTTGCCTATTCGCCATTGAGATTTTCGATTGTGTTAATAATAATTCGCAGTTATGATTGAACTGAGTAAAGGATCATTGGATGTGAGTTCATCGAAGGTGCATTGCTCGATCGTATATCGCCTAATGGAACTATTTTTCTTCCAGCAAATCATGAGTGGCCAAAACTTCGAGAACTCTGTACTTCAGTTATTAGTAAGTACGACAAATACAGGGGAAGCTTAATTCAACAAAGTTCGATTTTCAGTTTGCCGTCTTAAAAGAGCTGCAAACTGTAAAATTTAGCTATGAACTAGCGTGTGACAAAAAATAATGAGCAATTATTAGTGAAAGGAATCATCAGTTCGTTAATTGTAATTTTATAGAGTTACAAAAAACTGCGCGGTGCTACTTCTGATCAGTATAGACTGGTTGTGTCTGATGGAGAAAGAATAAATCAATACACAATGTTATCTACTAAATTAAATCATTTAATTAAAAATTATATTCTCAACATATATACAATTTTTAAATTATTAAATTATGAAGTGACGTCAATGGACAAAGAAAGGTATTTATTTTTCCAATTATATTTACAAATTATAACCATTTGTCTGTGTTCCACGCATCATATATGATACATAAAGTCTCGTTTAGTTTATTAAGTAGGTAAAGGGTTAAATCGCACAAGTAGTTTTTTTCCAAAAAAAAGCTCATTTAAGCTCTATTCAATTTCTTAGAAAAGTATTAATAATAATGAACTGCGAAGTATTAACTTCTGTCAGAGAAGTTATGTGCATGATAGGAAACCCGACTATAACGAACAAGCCTCACTCATCCACTGCTGTACATCACGAAGGTAATAAACTCTTATAATTCCTTTATATCAATTACATTCAGAATTAGCTTTTCATATCTACTTTATATGTATGGTTATTGCAATAATTGTGATTATTATAATATGCATAATAATATATTGTCGTGCTGAATAAAAATTCTTTTCCACCAGTGATGGAAGACACTATGCAATCAAGTACTTCGAGTGATACAAATAACTCCTTACGTGTAGAATCTACAGTTCCAATTATAACATTGGAAGATACTATGCAACCAAGTACTTCGAAAAATACAAATAACTCCTTTCGTGTAGAATCTAATGTTCCGTTTGAAATGGAAGATACCATGCAACCAAATATTTCGAGAGATACAAATAACTCCTTTCGTGTAAAATCTACAGTTGAAATTATAACATTGGAAGATACTACGCAACCAAGTACCTCGGGAGATATAAATAATTCCTCTCGCGAAGAACCTACTGTTCCGATTGAAATGGAAGATACCATGCAACCAAGTACTTCGAGAGATACAAATAACTCCTTTCGTGTAAAATCTACAGTTCCAATTATAACATTGGAAGATACTATGCAACCAAGTACTTCGAAAGATACAAATAACTCTTTTCGTATAGAATCTAATGTTCCGTTTGAAATGGAAGATACCATGCAACCAAGTACTTCGAGAGATACAAATAACTCCTTTCGTATAAAATCTACAGTTGAAATTGTAACATTGGAAGATACTATGCAACCAAGTACTTCGAGAGATACAAATAATTCCTCTCACGAAGAACCTACTGTTCCGATTGAAATGAAAGATACCATGCTACCAAGTACTTCGAGAGATACAAATAATTTCTCTCGCAAAGAACCTATTGTTCCGATTAAATCATTGAGCCCTCTAAACAGGTGAGAGATCTATGTAAAATTACTTTTACTCATGTAAACGAAAAAATATGAAAAGAAACAATGATAACTCGCATTCAGAGAGAGAGAAAGAGAAATATCCCACGCGACATAATGTCTAAAATCGAGATATAAAACGCCTTTCAGATGTCTTATATCTCGATTTTAGACTAGTTGTGTGAAATATTTGATACAAGAAATTATTTAAGCTGGAAAGTCGTGAGTAATAAAACAATGAAGAAACCTCAAGAGGTTTCTCCAACCTTCACTGAATCAATTTTCTATAATAATCACCATTTTTTAGTGGGACAATTAAAGCTCGCGTAATCAATAAATCTCCAATCAAAGAGTGGAAGAAATACAATAGAAGTGGCGAATGGTTCTCCACAGATCTGGTCGACCAAGATAGTACCAAAATTAAATGCATCGTATTCAATGAATGCGATAGATTTCATAACGACTTAAAGGTAGGCACGTTATAACATTCAATTAAAAATCGAACTATTTGATTGAAATCAGTGATTATCAATTGAGTAATTTGTTCTACAAAAAATCAAATTAATAAGTTTCGACATTTTATTTCTGTTCTTTTCTATACGTAGGATAACAAGGTATACCAAATTTCGAAATACTGCCTGAAACCAAAAAATCCAAAATTCAGCAAATTGCAAAACAAGTATGAAATAAAATTAACCAAGTCTACCAAAATCGTAGAATGTTACGATGATGGGTGTATACAGTTGATGCTCTCCGCTCAACTCGGTGGCAATTTCGATGCGCCGCTCCTTACTTTTCAAGAGGCGACCAAAGCAAAACTAGGCGAAAATCCGTACTCAGAAAATGTCTTTATGGTAGTGGCAACAATTTGTTCAATTTATAAGGCACACTTTTATAAGGCATGTCCCAACGACAGCTGTAAAAAGAAAAAAGTAAGTTAAGCGCAAAACAAATGTGTACATATTTCGTAAAGCAGATATTTTCGCATTCTTTATTATATGTAAATTATTCTAAAACACGATGTGATTTCAGATCGAGCAAGTTTATAAGACATTCAAGTGCGGCAAATGTAACCAAGAATACATAAACTTCATTTATGGCTTGAGACTGGGGGCAAGTATCAACTTTTATCGCGTTCTCCTCATTGTCTTCATTATTTGTGGCTATTTGAATAATAAATACGTTGGATTTATTGTTGTGATGATCCCAGATAGATATATCAGACTCAACAGGCAGTTATCACGTGACCGCCTTTAATAAAGTAGCTGAGAATATGTTTAACATATCAATTCAAGCATTGGGCGAATTGGAGAAAAACGATAGCGATGCCTATACGGAAAAAATCAACAAGTTGAAATTTAAAAGATACACGTTTGTCTTGAAAAGGAAAGCGCAAATTTACACAGTAACTAATTTTATCGTTCATCTTATTATTTCTTTAAAATTATTTGCGCAACTCTTATAGTTACATTTTTTTTCTCCCTTTCTTTTTGAATTATATGTGTCACTTATATCTAAGACCAAGTATATTTTAATTTTCTAGTTCTAACAAGTTTTACGTTATTTCAGGACGAATATACTTGTGAATCAATTACGCCATTAAAACATCTTATTTACTCGAGGCATTTAATGGCCAAAATTAACAAACTTCGGCAAAGTAAACCTTAATTAGGTAAGATTCAATATGTTTATTATAAATTTTGGCAAGAAAAATGTTCTCTAAAAAATCTCGATAGTATCGAAGTCATATTAAAGTGTTGAAATCTTTTCCCCCAATAGCACAAATCTAGGACAACCTAAAGATGTCCAGAGAACGTCCTATATCCTAAGAACATCTATAGGATATCCATAAAATATCGTGTGCTGTCTGGGTTCCCAACTGTCTCCAAATGTCCAAAACTGAGACATGAGACGTCTTTAAGACAATTTAAAACGAGAAATTCAATGTTGTTAGATACACGAACAAATTAAAATTATTTTAATTTTTTATCTTTATTATAAATTATTTTATGAATGCAAGCATTGTTATAATGATAATACACGAAGTAATATGAAATAATATGAAAGTATTATGAATAAATATAAAGACATACTGCATATCCTTTCTTTTAACACGGAATTGTTGTCGCATTACTCCATATCAATTCCAATCCGTGACAAAGATCGATTGTGCAGCGAGACAATAGCGAATAAAGACAAGATGCGTAGGGCATTCTTGAGAAAGGTAAAGAGAGGGAAATAGAGGATGGGATCCAAGGAGGGAGAAGGCAGTCTTAGGCTCATCCTCGCGTCACTTTCACTTGAACTCTTTGTATCGCCGTGCAGAGATTTTCTAGACGGTGTGATTCTGTAACATTTCTACGAATGTACGGATAATTTGCACACGTGTAATTGTTATATAATAATTTTTAATCTTTCTTCTGTGATATTAAATTTTTTATTGAAATGGTGCTTCGCTGGAGACTACAATTTTATCTTCTACGATACACACTACTCTTTGTCGTTGTCCGCACCGAAGAAGTTTTTGTAAGTAATGACAATTTTGGAGATTCCAAAACGTTACGATAAGTCGAGTTACTCGGACACCATCGATCATATCCCATCGTTTCATTTCCCTGAAAGGAATAGAGATCACATTACTTCTTGAGGGACACAAATGTCGTTTCGCATCAGTATTGATAATCCTTCCTAGAAATCATATATAATCTTGTTTCATTGTATTCTATGAATGTTTTACCGTAGATCAGAACATAACGCGTCTCGATTTTCAATAATTACGAACAAATATCTCCCGACCGCACGATTCACTTATAATCGTTTATCTACGCAGAACACCACTCCGCCGACCATCAGAACAAACTTCTCCTGTTTGAACCGGCTTATGGGATTTTACGCCGACGTCGAGGCTAATTGCAAAGTGTATCACACTTGCGACGATCACGGTAACAAATTCAGCTATCGGTGTCCCGAGGAAACGGCCTTCCGCCAGGACGCTCTGATATGCGATCACGCCCACCTAGTTGACTGCCAGGCGACTGTCTACCCGCCGAATCGATTCCCAGACGAGAATACTGGTAACAAGGACAAGGAGGCATTACCATTGAGATCACCAGCCACCTCTATCGACTCGCCCGATGATCACCGGCTCTCCTTCTCACGTTCCTTCCAGGTCGTCCAACGACCCGACAAATCCGTGTCCAATAAACATCAATCCGGCTTCGTGTTTAGCGCTAGTCTATTTCTGAGGGATCACGATCGGACGCGAGATCGTGCCGGCCCACGAGCCGCCGACGCCTCCAGAAGATGCAACGTCGACTCGAAAGACCGATTCGCGACAGCCTCCACCGTTCGCACGCTCACCGAGCGATTCAACTCTTGGGATGTCCGCAATGACAAGTCGAGCCGTGGAAGACTACCGCAGTCCCTGTCGTTGTCAGAGAGCCGCGACTTCGCGCGTGACAAGAGTGGCACGATGAATCTTCGCCGTTCGTTCGAGCCGACCCCGAATCCTTCGACCCCTGCGAGAACGATGCCACCGGATAGCGTTGCTCGACGTCCAGCCTTCCTACGTGAAAAGTCCACCTTCTTGGCTCACGATCACAACTATCGTCCTTATTCGGAGACCCTGAAGTCCATCCAAGCTAACGCCGTCCGCGTGACCGCCGACAAATCCACCACGGAGATCCCCGTGCACGCGTTGACGCTTTCCTTGAAGCCGCTGGTACCGAACGAGCTGGAATACGATCCTTATTATCCTAAACAACCGACGTCCACCGAGGCGTACTACACGCCCAGCAATCGTAATGGGTTCAACGTGAACGCTCGTATTCTCACTTCTAGCCAGGTACCACCGGTGGCGATTTCGCAACTCAATCTTCCCTTCGAGATCCCGCCTGTACTACCCGATCTGAGCAATCTCGAGGATCTGGTCGATCGTCGGAAGCTCTTCTATATCCCGCGCGTAAGCGCAAAGTCGATACAATGAGCCATTCTACTTTAAAGGTCGAGGGGAGTGTCGATCCTCGTCGACACGCACTGTAAAGGCGAAAAGTCTCAAGCCATCAATTGCGTGGATTTATTTGGAAGCGTTACGGATTTGCATTTGGAACATGACTCACAGAACTTCGGTCAAATGTGTCTTAAGTTTAATCTACAATGTGCACTTGCTTTCTGTTTCTGATTCTCTGTTTTTCTCTGACTTAAGCTTGAAGCTTGATCTACAATGTGTTCTTTGCTTCCTGTTTCTTTATCTTTCTTACTCAAACCTTAGACTTCAGGTTTAGATTCGAAAGAAATAAAGAGAAAGAAATAGAAAGCAAAAAGCACATTGTAGAGAAAGCTTTACAATCTTATAGTACGCAACATGGTGCATTCGACTACTTGTTAAATTCTAATCAGTCAGCGTTCTACAAACGGCGTTAACAGGCTGTTGATAATTTGTTGAATATTTATCGAATGTCGAAACGTATTACTTAATGTGATTATTATTTCGCTTCTGTTACGATATTTATCCCGTAAGAATTCGATTGCCGTTGTGAAACCTGAAAATATGTACTCATGTTATAACCAGAGCGAACACCAACTTACCACTTCTAAAACTAAAACGACAATTCTTTACCATGATACGTAGCTCTGATCAGCGGTTCCAACGAAATCTTTGTTCTCTCCGATGAACAACGACATCTTTCTATAAGATATTGAAGATATTCGTTCTCCTCCCGAAAGTGTCGAATATTTCTATGCAACTCCTCAAGCTGCGCTTGTAGCTGCTGTTGCGTAATTTCCTCATTTATCCGATTATCTGCTCCATCCTCCTTTATACAACGTACGGCACTTTCGTCAGTTTTCAACTTTTTTTGTATCTTTGTCTCCTCTACTTTCCGCATATCGTCGGCCACGTTTTTCCCAACAGAGACTCCATTTTCGGTTCTATTTGTTATAAGCGACTCACGCGTGCAGGGACAGAGCTAAAAAATTCGACACAGTTGACGTATCTTTAGTAACCTAATTACTTTATAAGCAGCTAATTACTTTATAAGCAGAACATATATTGTATAATAAGTTATTTGTCTCTTTATTACAATACGTTATGAGCTGTATTAGTAGTCGTTACTTGAAATTTGTTTCATGCGAGATATTCAGACTTTCACTCAAAATGAAGTCCAAATTTTTTAGTTGAATTGTGATATAATGACATTCTATCTGTAATCGCGGTTTAGCTGAAGAATTCTCATCTAACTATGAACTCAAACCTGAGTATTTCTTTTGAAAGGAGTTTCTAGTAACGAATATTAATAGAGGTCTATGTTGCGTTGAAAAGTTGAATATAAATATTTTCAGTTACAAATATATCAGATTATATTCGTGTATGATTCTACCAGCAACACGAGTGTCCGAATTACCATTCGATTAAATGTTTGCGACCCTTGCTGAGATGTTTCTGCGGAAGAAAATTGTCGTGTGAACAATAGCTTCGACTTTAAGTCGTCTCTGGTATCAACCGTTTGAATTTTCGAAATGATCTTTTCCTCTTTTTGTATATTATAGCTGCCATTTCCCTTGGGAAGCGAGTAATCGGGAACACTTTTGTCAACCAAGAGACGATCGCTCCTTTTCTCCATTTCAACGGAAGAAGCGGTTTCATACGGAATCATCCTCAAAAGCACACAATTAAAGTTTTTCGATGTAATATCGCGATCTCGACTATGATCGTCGATTATCTTCTTTTCATCGAGAGCCAGTGATCCCGGTTCCTTCAAAGGATGCTCCAGATGAAGTTCAGTGCCACAGAGCGCGCAAACTGAGCTGGATGTGGTCGTAATAATTAGTCCTGACCCAGGATCATTTTGCTAGTAAAAAAGTTACTTAATGCTATTTCTTATTCTCAATTTTTTTCGATCGTTCTTCATTTTCATCTATCTCTTGTTTTGTCGCGAAGAAATCGAACAATTCTTTAATGTTAACCAAATTATTTCCAGAAAATTAATTGTAAGAAAGAATTGTAAATATATTTCGAAACAAGAAAAAGCAGAAGAAAAATTAATATAATATAGAATAAAAATTTCGTTACTTGATCGCTCTTCTCGGCCTGCTGTAATGCGCGATGGCGCGTTAAAGATTCTAAACTTCCCTGTTGTCCCTCTGTAATATTCGCAATTAATTGTCGTAATCTCAACGCGGTCTCTTTAATCGGTTGCAATAAATCGCGAAGCATCGTAATCTGTTAGGAATTCATTATTTTACCTTAATACAGAATAGAGTAGTTATGATCACTAAGTAAATGATGATTTTCCGATGATAAAATTTGTAATTTTATTATTAAAAGTTCTCTCTCTCTCTCTCTCTCTCGCTCTCTCTC